AGTTGATGAGTTCTAGTCCCATCTTAGGTATGAAAGCCGGCTGGGTGCCTTTGGGCCAATCACCAGGAGTTGCTGAGTTCTAGTCTCATCTTAGGTATGAAGGCCAATTAGAATGCCTCTGGGCCATTTCCCCCTCCCTCCAGACCAACCTTCCTCGCAGGGTTGTTGTTGTTGGGAAAAAGAGGAAGAGGAAAGGATATTAGTATGTTTACCACTTTGAGTTATTGATAAAAATAATTAAGGCAGGTTAAAAAAAATCTGAAAAACTATTGTCATGGAGAAAATGGGAGGTGAGAGCATTAGGCCTATGAGCCACCCTGAGATCACCCAAAATAAAGGCAGAATATAAGATGTTTCCAAAAAAAAATACCCCAATGGTTTGAGAACATTACTCTATGCAATACAGTATAACTAGCAATGAAAAGGAATTAATTTTCAACTCCTGCTTTTCTTTAATATTTTACGATATTGAATCCTTCAGCAGATGTCTCTTATTAGTCTCCTGGTTTTAATATATTTAAATGTAAACACTGGTTTTGATTTTCAATGGCCTCCTAGACTATCATATAATTTATGGCTCTATGGTTTAACTCTCCTGGATTGGGGTTTTCTTTACACTGGAATCCTGTCTAAATCCTGCCTACACTGGAATCCTGTCTAAATCCTGCCTATGATAGCTTGAAATAAATACGTTTCCTGATGGAATTTGAACTTCGGGATTCCAACTTTCAGCTTTTAAACTAATCTTCCTATTTTGAAATAAAAACAAACCCTTGTCTGAAAGGAAATAGGACAATACTGACGTTTCTGAAAATTTTCCATCCACTTACAACTTGGATCAAAAATTGTTCGAATCATCGTCTTCTTGTCAAGTAGGAAGAATATATTACACTAAAATGTAATTATTTATTCCAATGACACATTTAATCTTTTGGGCATAATGTCAATTTAGGTTGAATTATCCAGCTGAGGGTGGCTGGAGAAACCCATTCATTCAACTTCTTTTCTCTTTTGGCTTTTTCTTTCATTTCAGGACCTATTAAGTGATTAAAAGAGAATGTATTTTTCCCACACCAGAGTTCATTTTTGGCTCACTATAAAGAGTCTATGATTACATATATATTTTTTGCAAATAAATGATTGTACTCCATGTTCCATGGCATATGTAGCAATGATACCTTAATACAACCAATGCTGACATTTCAACAGATTTTAAATATAAATAAATATATTTATGCACATGCAAAATGTAGTCACTGAACCAGTAGTAACACGGGTTGAATCCCACCTGTTGAGGTAATTCCCCGTTAGGAGAATGAGCGCATACAGGGAGACGTATAGAGAGTTGGAATAATACACACAGAGCACACAGATACACTGTATGTAGGTTTTTACTTCCAGAAAGGTTTAAGCAAAGTCCAAAATAGGCAGTCCAAAGTCATTCACAGGTGAAATCAGTCAGTTTTCATCCAGGGATAATCCAAATATCAAATTCCAGTGTCAAAAACAGTTCAGTATCAGACTTACATTAAATCCAGTAATATCAGTCAATTAGAAGAAATGGAGCAACGGCAATACTTTCCAACAGAAGGAAACAGAGATACACTCACACTCTCTTCTGAGACTCAGACTAAAACAACCCAGGTTTCTGGCTCCATCTTATGGCCGTTTGAGAAACCACACCTAATTACAGTTTTGCATTTTCTTAAAGTTACAGTTTTAAAATGTTTACCTTGGTTTATATATTTCTAACCCAAATAGCTGTTAGGTGACTCATATTCCTAACACCATCCCTGCCTAAAATCCAGTCTATCTCCAGATAGGGCTCTCCTCCAGATTCCCAGATCTTGCTGTGGGGCTTTGAATCGATGGCTTTTGAATCTGGCTGTAAAAAAAAACATCTGGAGAACCTCAGAGCTCCAGAGCCCTGGAGGTTGTAAACTTTGCCTGGGAAACCCTGTTTATTCTTGCCTGAGAGTTGGAGAGAGTCAGCCAAACGTCTAGTCCAGAGAAATTTTGGTGGCAATTTCTCCTCTTCGCCATCCAGTCTGAGAAGTTTCTCAAAGGTAACCAACATGCCAATGCCATTCCATTCATTGTTTTTGAGTAGTTTTGCCTTGTACTGTACATTGTTGTAGAAATCCAGAGTCTCTTTGCCAGTTGAACTGTCTAACAATGGACATTCTATCAAGCAATCTCCAGGTTGAATCTTCTGGCAGAACCAAACAGGCAGGTTTGGTGAGTCCCAGCCAGAGATCTTACGAGGCAAGGAGAATCAAGGTGGCCTTTCAAAGATTAGGGTTTGAAATTGAGGGAGCTCCTTCTTTCTTGGCATTAAAGCCCATTTTTCCTTGAAAATGAATCTTAAAGGGGGTTTCAGCTGGACAGAAGGAGCTTCAATATTAATAAAGAACATCTGCCTACTTCAGGTTCTTGGGAAGAGCTCAACAGATGGATAAGCATGTCCAATCTAGTCTAAACATTTGTGTCATGCTCTTGTTGGAGTCTGACTCTGAGGGGGAGATTGAGCAGCTGACAGGGAGTGGGAGTGTGGCTCTGGAGGAAACAGGGGAAGGGCACAGTCCAGCCGGGCATTCAGAGGAAGACCCAGGGCCATCCCCTCTTCATCCTAGGGCATGTAGGGAGGAATGGAGAAGGGAGCAACATGGCCTATGGGAGAGAAAAAGGTCCTGGGTCAGTTGCAGCTGAGAGAACAGGATATAAATTGGGCGTTTTACATAGTTCCTTGCTGGAAGCCAAGCATGCATTATCTTTGTCAAGGCTTATCTAGGTTTTGGCATCCTCCCAACTGTGATTGCTGCGTTATCTTGTGGAAGTGCAATTTATCATCCTGGCCTGCCATGTTAATTACTTCAGTGTGGTTTGTGTTGGGTTTTTTTTTATTTCTAACTATCTTTTCTTTGAGTTCGGACTGCATTTACTCCCTTCTTAGACTGTTTTTGGAAGAGTTTGATATCCAGCCGAGGATAATTGGACATTGGGGCCCAAGTTGGAGGCATTAAAGGGAATTTATTTTACTTTTGTGACTGTTATTTTTGTGTCACGTCCCGGGTCATCACAATCTGGCTGACTCTGCGACCAACCATAGTAATACTACTACTAAAAATTTATGAAACAAGTATGGTCTCCAATTCTCAGCAACTTTGGGTGGCTCAAAACAAACAAATTATAATCAAATCAATAAAACATAAAAGATAAAGATAAAAGGTAGCTAGCCCGATGAAGCAAAGGCCCCAGTCTCCTTCTCTAAAGGCCTGGGTGAAGATTCAGGTCTTCATGGTTCTTCTAAACAATAACAGAATTGATGTCTATGGTGATTCTCAGTCATCCAAGCTATGGTTGTCCGAAAGGTGCTTTTTCAAGAGGCAACTGGACTTTCTGGTTTTTTTTCTTTGAAGACATTTCACTTCTCTTCCAAGAAGATTATTCAGTTCTGACTTGGATGGTGGGGAATGGAAGGATTTATACTCCTTGCAGATAGCTAGTCATTTGCATCCTTTTAGAGGATCATTGAGGCCACTGGGAAGTTTATCTGTGTCCTCAGTGCAAATGGGTGTGAAGCCTTCTTGGAACTGTTGAAAGTACTGTGTTTTTCACAGGACACTCTTTTGAAGACAGCAAAGTCCACATTTTGGACAGAGAGGACCTCTGGTTTGAAATGGGGGTCAAAGAGGCCATCTTATGTCAAGATTGAACAGCCTTCTTTCAACAGAGGGGAGGTATACAACATCATCTATTTCCAGTCTACAACACAGTCCTTTCAACAGGTCCATGAAGGCTCCACGCCCATTTGCACCACTCAGGTGACCCTGAGGACATAGACACACCTACAAGTGGCCTCAGTGACCCTCTAAAAGGATGCAAACGACTAGCTGTCTGCAAGGAATATAAATCCTTCCATTCCCACCATCCAGTCAAAGCTGAAGAAGCTTCTTGAAGCGAAACGTCTTCAAAGAAAAACCAGGAAGTCCAGTGCCTCTTGAAAAAGGAATGGACCCATCTACATCTCAAGAGGAACCTCGTTCCAGAGGGCAGGAGAAGGCACATTTCCAAGTCCCAACAAAAGTTTAATGGTTTAATCAAAGGAAGCTGAAGTGCACCAAGCCTCCAAGATTAAATTCGGCCATGAAGATGCTATAGACAGGGGTTGCCAACCTTAGGGACCACCAAACTCATAATTTTAAATCCTGAGGACCACTAATATGAATTTTGATTGACGGTGGCTTGCTGATGTTGATGGGGGAAGAGGGAGGGAGGGAGAGGGGGAGGGGGAGAGAGAGAGAGAGAGACTGAGACTTTTGGCTTCATGCAAGGAAAACAGCAGAAGCAGCAGAAGTCTTTCTTTCTCTCCCCCAAACTCCACCAGAAATGAGTCTTTGTGAGACTTGTTGCACCGGCACAGCCTCTTGGAGCAGGATGCCTTGCAGGGTCCCAAAGATTCATTTCTGGTGGAGTTTGGAGGAGAGAAAGACAGACTTTTGCTGCTTTCCTTGCGTGCAGCCAAAAGCAGAAGAAATGGAAAGAAGCAGCCCAGTGGCCAGGCAAGGCATGTGGGGTGAGTGGTGCAAGTTCCCCTCACCCTTCCACCTTCCCCTCACTACCTTGTGTTGTTCGCAATGCAAGTGATGCAAGCCTTGTGTTCCCGCACAGCCTGGATTAATTGCTTTGGGGGGTGTTTTGGAGATGACATTTCTCTGCAGACCACCAAAATTTTCTCGTGGTCCACAACCCACTGGTTGGTGACCACTGCTATAGAAGATATCTCAAGTAATCGAGCCCTGTGTCACAGATCAACCTTCATAATGAAGGCCTGCCCTCAACCTTTTCCCCATTAGAAGAATTTATTTTGCCTGGTTCCTAAGAATTACTTTTCCAACCACTGCTCTCAGGTAATCCAGGGACTCAGAAGATCTACCTGCCTGTATATTTCCCACCTTCTCACCTTTTGCTTGTGGTTTATTCCAGGATCCGGGCTTTCTACGTGCCAGCCTTGGACTCTTGAGACCAAATGTCTTCATCTGCGGTAAAATCTAGAAAAATAAGTGCTTACACAGCAGTTAAGGTAGACCCCGAGAGTGACTACTGTACACCTGGAGCGTTTGATTTGGAGAGGCTCTTCTGGAAAGGAAGCCCCGAATACACACATGTCAATGAAGTCTGGCCCAACCTCTACATAGGAGACGAGTAAGTTGTGTCAAAAAGTGTCTTGGGAGCAAAGAGATTTTTCATTCCAGGTAATCCTTGACTTATGAGCCCAAACTTTCTTTTGGTAAAAGGACACCATTGTTAACTGAGTTCTGCTCCATCTTATGGCCCTTCCTGCCATCATTGCTGAGCAAATCACTGCAGCTGCTAAATTAATCATACTGCAGCTTGTGAAATGAATCTGGTTTCCCAATCAACTTGGCTTGTCAGAAGATCGCGAAAACTGATCACGTCATCCTGGGACACTGCAAGCGTCATAAATATAAACCAGTTGCCAAGTATCTAGATTGTGATCGTGTCTTATCCAGATGTTGCAACAATTATAAGTGTGGGAAAAACAGTCAGAAGTAACTTTTTTTCAGTGCCATTGTAACTTCGAACAATTGTAAGCAAATGGTGTAAGTCAAGGGCTACCCATATGGATCTATGACAATTCACCATGGCCAACTTGCCATGGCTACCTCAGCACAACCAATTTGCCACAGCCAACTCGCTGCAAGACAACTTGCCATGGCTATCTCGCCACAGAAGAACTTGTGTTATGTATTGTAGATAATTGTCAGTTGAAGGTTTTGTTCTGGTCCTCTGTTGGAGCGGGAAAATACTCTCTCCTGATTGGCTGTTGGCTGATTAGTTCCCTTTAAAAGGAGCTATGTGAGCCAGAGAGCGATAAGTTGCCGCACAGGCAGTATTGAATAAAGAGCTGTTAGAAATCACCCTGGCCCCACCTCCATTTTTTGCCCAGAATTTAACAACTTGCTACAGGACAAGAGTTACACTCATACCAAAGAAATGTGGGATAGAATCATTAAAGAAAGGGTGCAGAAGGAGGGACAGAATGAAATGTGATTGGCAAAACTTAAAATAATTTTTATTTATTTTAAATAATGAAATAGAATAGTTAATTTGTTCTGCAGTGAGTTGTCCCACAGCAAGTTGGCCATGATGAGTTGGCTGTGGAGAGTTGGCCATGCCAAGTTGGTCATGGTGAGTTGTCCCACAGCAAGTTGGCCATGATGAGTTGGCTGTGGAGAGTTGGCCATGCCAAGTTGGTCATGGTGAGTTGTCCCACAGCAAGTTGGCCATGATGAGTTGGCTGTGGAGAGTTGGCTATGCCGAGTTGGTCATAGTGAGTTGTCCCACAGTGAGTTAGCCATGCCGAGTTGGTCATGGTGAGTTGTCCCACAGTGAGTTGGCTGTGGCAAATTGTCCCTTCCCACCTGTATTGTACATCCGAAGCAGGGAAGGTTGCAAAAATCCAGGTGACCACCGTGACTGTGGGATCAGAACCCTGGTCGCTTTTGAACATGTCACACAAAGAGGGGAAAAAAAGATGGGACTCGTATGGTCGCGGGCAACCTTTTGGGATTTTTGTCCAATAAAAAAAGGCCATTTCTGCTTCAACCCCAGGAAAACTGCCCTTGATCGGTACAGCCTCCAGAAAGCTGGCTTCACCCATGTACTCAACGCAGCGCATGGACGATGGAATGTGGATACTGGGCCTAATTACTACGCGGACATGGCCATCCAGTACCACGGAGTGGAGGCTGATGACCTTCCCACCTTCAACCTGAGCCAGTTCTTCTACTCTGCTGCCGAGTTCATCCACGAAGCACTCCAGGATGAGACCAGTAAGCCCACCTACGCTGGCAAGCCACTGAGGTTCATTCCGCGCTGGTATAGGTTCATTCCGCGCTGATAGCTTCTCTTATACCTTGGTTTGAGGAATCCTTAGGGGGGAAATGCTTTTCACCAGATCAAAGCTATAACCATACAGTACAGCCAGTGGTGGGTTTCCAAATTTCCCCCTACTGGTTCTATGTATGGGTGCGCTTCGGCAATAGCATGAATCAGCGAAGCTCCGCACGCACACAGCACAAATACAGAGCTCTGTCAATCTGGTGAGCTGCCTGGAATGTTTTTAAGCTCAGCTGAGGCACGGCAATCTATGCGAATAAGTTGAGCTAAAAAAAACACAAGGAAATATAGGAGAGGTAACAGTGGGGGCAGATGGGCGGGCCAGCCAGAGGTGGTATTTGCCAGTTCTCCAAACCAGTAAAAATTTTCACTACCGATACGCCAGAACCAGTTCGAACCGGCTGAATACCACCTCTGAGTACAGCCCCTACCCATCTGGGGCTGTTCATCTCTTTAAAAAAATTCAGATATCAGGATAAGAAAATTCAGAGTCCTTATGCTCAAAACTCTTTTAAGCATCCTGAGAGCAAATGGCCAAGGCTTTCTGTTAAACAGGTGACCAAACTCACTCCCACATATAAACCTCTAGAAAGCACTAATGTTTTGAAAAACTGCCCATTGTAGACAACTTCCGGGTGAAGAATCTGTAAGAGGCACAAGGATCTTGAGTTGGGTTGTATTACTTGTTTTCATCCTACGTTCCAACTTTCAAGCCTAGAGTAGGACCAGGGGCTTCTGCAGGGGGAGTCAAAAATGTCAAGATGGCCTGCATCTTGATATGTGAAGTTACAGTATTACCATCCAGAAGATAAAGTCACAGGTGCACTGTTTATTCCTTCTTCGGATTGAGCTCAATTTTACCCACATGACTTTTAGGTGATGGTTAATAAAATCTTCGCCGTTGCTCTGATTGATTTTTTTTAGACTAGAAAATGACATAAAATGGTCTTGTACATTTAACAGCATAAGAAAAAAAATTGAAGTGTATTCCTAATTTGTGAGAAAACAGACCACAACTAAGAAATGGAGGACATATATATATATATCCTCTCTCTTGCTTTCCCCCTCTCTCTCCCTCTCCCTCTCTCTCTCCTTCGTTCTGTCTCCATCACTCGCTCTCAATCTCCTGCCTCTCCATCTCCCTCTCCCTCCCCCCTCTCCCTGTTGCCCCTCCCTCCGTCTCCCGGCTCCGTCTCCATTTCTCTCACTCTCTCCACCCCCCACAAGCTATATCTAAACTAGCATTTACACCACTGAAATGTGGCTTAACTCTATCCCTGTTTGCTTGTCCATCCAGCACTGTACTGGATTCTTTAAAAGACAGTTACCATTGGATCCTAAGAAATTCAAGATCCTTGCACATGCTGAGATCCCTGTAGATCTGTACACTGCCCAAGATCAAGCCAGCACAAAGTTTCTGATGCCAAATCTCAGTCTCTCTGTGTTTTGGTTTCTTCACGTTTACAGACAAGATCCTGGTCCACTGTGCCATGGGGCGTAGCCGCTCAGCAGCCTTGGTCTTAGCCTATCTGATGATTTACAAGCACATGACCGTGGTGGATGCCATCGGCCAGGTGCTGAAGCACAGATGCATCCTTCCGAACCGCGGATTCCTGAAACAGCTCCGGGAACTGGACATAAAGCTGGCCTTGGAAAGGAAAAACGGCACCAACCAGCTCAACGGTAGCAAAGAGCAAAATTCCCACGCAGAGATTTAACATTCCGTTTCTTTGAAAATAAGTAGTGACAAAATAATCAAAGAGTGTGAAACCATTAGGTAAAGAGCGTCATTTGTTATCAACGAAGGAAGGGACGAGGCGGGAGTCGAGAGGTGGATGTAATCAGAAGCCCTTCAAATGGCTTCAGTTATTTTCAGCTTGATTATATGCAAAGGAGGAGCGGTGGAGGGCGGCCTTTCAATAGGGAGCCTGCAGAAGATGAGGAAGGCAGCTCTTCTGCAGAAAAGAAGGGCGGAACCTGCAAGAAAGCCTCATGATGGTACTGCATTTATCAGTGTACAGTGTACAGAAAGGGAAGACATACAGTGTGTAAGTCTGGGTCGAACTGTGGAGTCCTGGGGACGTTCTGAACTTGGTTGTTGCTTTGCAGATGTTTTATTACCCAACTACCCTGTTTCCCTGAAAATAAGACCTACCCCCAAAATAAGCCCTAGCATGCATTTTACGCCTGTGCCTAATATAACCCTTACCCCCAAAATAAGCCCTACTTAAGAGCCTGCGCAGCTGGCTGGCCACCCATTCCATCTGGTTGCTCGCAGTGCCATGGCCACGAGGTGAGGCAGGGTAGTGATGGAGCTGCCCTAGGCACCCAGCACCGGTTTACCTCAGACCCCGCAGCCAGGCCACCCATGCCCTGACATCTGCCTCATGGCAGCAGCACCAGTACTCATGTGCAGCAAGACATGGTGTGCTTGTTCCCCAGCCATGAGGCGAGGCAGGTGTCAGGGCACGGGTGGCCTGGCTGCAGGGGCCCTGAAGTAAACCTTGCAGGGCACATGGGGCAGGTCCACCCTCTGCTTCACGGTGACGGCACTGGCATACCACACAGCCTCCTGCCCCACTGCGAACAAGCAGAAGAAGTGGGCCTCCTGTACATGGGGGGAAAAATAAGACCCCTCCCAAAATAAGCCCTAGTGCTTATTTTGCAGCCCAAAAGAAAATAAGACCCAGTCTTATTTTTGGGGAAACATGGGTAAGTAACATCACCAGGGCACTGATGTATGTAAGCAAGTCTGCACCCAACCTCAGAGCGTACCAAGGAGTCCCAGAATGTGCAAAAAGAAGAGCAACCTACTTGAGAGAAGCAAATAAATCAAAAACAGATCATCATCATCATCATCATGATCTTAAATCACTCCACTGAGGGATGAAATCCTTTGGGTCATTAACTATCTACTAACCACATTGGAGGAGCATGTTAGATTATAATCCATAAACTTGAATAAAGAAATCTTCATTTTGTAGTGGATCGATTTAGGATCTTCACCATCAACACTAACACCACCAACAAATCAAGGTTAACACACTTAATTATTTTCTTCTGGGGGATGATGATTTGCACTTCACTTGGGTGTTCTTCTGTTTTGGAAGTACACCAGTGAAGCACAAGTCATCACCTCCAGAAGCAAATTAGCAGGACCAACTTAGGTTGCCCACACATATTTTTGTGGGAGTTTTGTTAAGAGAGAGCAGTTGAATACTTGCTGAACTTCTCCTGGGAAGTTCTTGGCATAGATGGTGGTCAGGTACTCACATTGGTTCCCACCAAGTTTCTGGGCAGAATTGTTTTAGATACCTTGTCACCCATCTGCACGCTGGACTATACTTAACCTTTCCTCAATATCATTTGGAAATATTTTGGATTTGTCTATTTTAATAATATGATATTCAGTGGGCAATGATTACAAAACCCATAATCGCTTTGTCAATGACCGACACTGTTTCTGGAGATATGGAGAAATATTTCAAATTCTTAAATGCTTCAAGCACAACCAGTTTTCAACACTGAACACATTTTTTTCTTGGTCAGGTTTAATTTCAGTTATTTATTTTCAGTAGATCATCATGTTCTGATCCAAACCTTGTTCCGAGTAAACAAACACCAAACAGAGATAAAAGCAAAACCTTTTAATGCCTCTCTGCGAATTCCGTTAATTCATGGTTAAAAGGCTATTAAAACTAAATGTCTCTGATAACAACGAGCTTGGGCAAGGTTGTGCAAGGCTGCCAAAAGCACTAGATTAAGTTGCCAAGAAATATTCCAAACAAAAAGTCTTCAAACACAAATCAAGATAGTCCGAACTTCCACAAGGCTTGAAGTGCAAGAATTTCTTTGCTTCCTGCAAAGAATCCCACCTCTGAGGGCTGGCTTTTATCCCTTAAGGAAAGGGGCCATTACTTTGAAGCCTTACTCCTGAGTCTCCCGTGCTGCTGCAGCTCTTTCTTACAAACAGCCCTGCACGCACGTGCACTGGGCACAGGCTCCTCAGGAACCTCTTCATCACTGCTACCAGCCTTCACGATCTCCGAAGGCAGCACTCCACTCCCTGATGGTCCTGGCCCCGTCCCTACACCACATGCAGGCCCCTCATCTGAGCCCTCACTCTCCGAGACCTCAGTAGTCCGCACCTGCTGCCGGCGAAGCACATCATGTCTTCCAGACATCACTTCTGGACATCTAAAGCCACAGCAGATGAACCTAGAAGTGAGGTATTGTGATATCTGCATGTTGGCACTTTACCCCAAACTTTCTTTGATCGTTGTCCAAAATGACAATATGGAGAGCAATGGGGTTAAACTGTGAGGTAGTTATTAACGTAGGTCATTGGCCTTCACAACTATTGATCTAAAAAGGAAACTAAAAACACAACCTCGGGCACTGCAACTATCATAAATACGAGCCAGTTGCCAAACACCTGAATTTTCATCACGTGACCCTGGCGGTGCTGCAATGGTCATAGGTGTGAAAAACAGTCAGAAGTCACTTTTTTTCAGTGCTGTTGTAACTTCAGTCACTAAGTGAATTGTCAACTCAAAAATATTTCTCTGGTCTCTTAGAGTTGTCCGCAGAAAGGGAATGAGGAAAGTAATCCTAAGTTCTATACCTGAAATAAATTTTATTTCTTTTTTTGTTGTACAGGTCACCTTCAAGAAGTGAGGGGAGCTGAGTGTTCTTGACTTTGGGAGAAGCGAAGGCAGCTACAAAAACTGAAGTGTGCTTCCGTCCTTGGTATCTGTGTTGTGCCCTTGATGGAGCAAAGACAAATGCAGGGCTGTAGGTTTCCTCGGTCGTTTCTTTGGAGTAGCACTGCTCCCACTGCCACTTTGCTGCATCTGCTTGAATGACAAAGGGTTGTTCGGGGTCAGGGAGCTTCAGCACCGGTTCTTTTCATTCCAATTTTAGTATATATGCTGCCAAAATGAGCACTACCTGTAGTTGGGGGCCCATCATTTCCCTTAAAACCTTTGCTCAGTGGTGCGATTCAACCGGTGTAACAACCAGTTCGATAAGCGTGTGCACTCAGCATTTAAAAAAAAAGTCCATTTTCAACTCCTAATACTTACCTTTTACTCAGTGAGTAAAACAGCTGAGACGTGGCAAAACCGGTCTTCCGCATGAATCAGCTGTGCTAAATAAAACAGGAAATAAAACACAGGAAAGAGCAGAAGTGGGTGGGCGGGGCCAAAATGCTCACTGGAACTACCAGTTTGCGAAAACCGGTCCGAACTGGTAGAATCCCACGGCTGCCTTTGCTCCATCAAGGGCACAATGCAGATACCAAGGAGAGAAGCACACTTCAGTTTTTGTAGCTGCCTTTGCTTCTCCCAAAGTCAAGAACAGGAATGGCTCTGCCACCAAGCAGTTTGTCCCCAGGGAATGGCTTTCCGGTGTGTGTGTGTGTGGCTTTGGCTGCTGAGTGGACCCCCCCCCCCCCCCCAGATCTGGTTCTAGCTTTAATGATAACTTTGGAACACAGCCACTACCGACTGGACATTTTTCCAGGTTTTGAAGCTAAACAATTCTGGTTTTGTTTTTTAAGGAAAACTTGAAAAATGTAATGATGTCTGCAGTGAGTAAGAACTGACATATTTCATCGTCATCATCACAAAGCAGTATATAAGTCTAAGTGCTAAAGCTTTTGTGTTATTTGTTCCTACAATCCCCCTGCTTTTCTTTCATTCTTTCAAACAATTTAATGCCAGATGTCCCCCTTTTTTTTTCTTTCCCAGAAGCTCAAGGTGACGTAATAATAATTCCCCCCCCCCCAAGCAAACCTGTAAACTAGGCTGGTCTGAGTGAAGGTTGGTTCCAAGTCACCTTGTGAATTTCTGGAGCTGATAATGGACTTTGGTTTTCCTGGATATCTGAAATCAATAGGAAAGGACTGAATTTATAGAACAGGCTTAAATTATGAATTTGGCAGAGAGATAGACAGATCATATGTTGTTACGACAGATGGACAGAGCAAGCATTGGTTTCTTCATAATTTCCCATCAAAAGCAATTTCTGTCAAGAATTCAGAAAAGAGACTCTTGGTTTAGAGCAAGGGTCTCCAAACTTGGCAACTTTGTGACTTGTGGACTTCAACTCCCAGAATTCCTCAGCCAGGAATTCTGACAGTTGAAGTCCACAAGGCTAAAAGTTGCCAGGTGTTGTGGCCTCTCAGCTACCGGCCCCTCCAGCAGCCAAATCAGAGGAGGAGGAGAAGGAGGCGTGGGAGTCAGGATCAACATCAAGGCAACCTGGGAGCTCCGAGGAAGAAGAGGGAATGAAGCTGGCAGAGATAGAGACAGAGGCGGAGCCTAGGCTGTCCGTCAGCCTTTAGATGTAGAGTCAACAGCCCCCAGGTTTGGAGGTGGCTAATGAGGAAGAGGTGGAACAGCTGGGTCCAGTGCCTGACGCACGGATGTGCAGAAGGCAGAGGAGAGGAGAGCAGTGGAAATCTATGGGCCGGTCCTTGGGATGGTAGAGCCACTGCTGCTAGTGAAGCCCCACCCTAGTTCTGGGGATAAAAGGCAGGGGGCGGAGATGAATAGATGTGGCAGACAAACTATTCACCTGCCTGCTGGACAGACTTGTTAGCCTGCTGTGACAGAGATACTTTTTGCTGGGGCTGCTGGCGCTCCTAATAAAGGAATTGGTGAATAAGTACAGAGAGTTTGTCATGTTTGGGGAGCTGGGTCAGAATACCAAGTTTGGAGAGCCCTGGTTAGGGTTCTCTCTAGAGCCATGTCAAGCAATTAGCAGGTCATAACTTGATAAAGAGATATTTTGGTGTATCCCTGAGGCTGGTTCCGTCAAACGGAGCCAGGGAGGCAGCTAAAATGGATGAGGGAAGCCCCTTATTTCTCCAGATCTCCACCCACAGAGCAATCAACGTTTTGAGTATTCAAATGCCTCCACATCTCTCCTCTTTCTCTCACTCAAACTAACCCAACCTCCTGGAGCCTCACCCATTGGGGTCTATGACAATTCACCACGGCCAACTCGCCACGACCAACTTACCACGGTGAAATCACTGTAGGACAACTCGCCAGAGCCAACTCCCCATGGCCAACTCTCTGCAGGACAATTCACCACAGCCAACTCACCATGGCCAACTCACCACGGCCAACTCACTGCAGGACAACTCACCATGGCCAACTCACCACAGCCAACTCACCATGGCCAACGCACTGCAGGACAATTCACCACAGCCAACTCACATGGCCAACTCGCCACGGCCAACTCACCATGGGCAACTCACCATGGCCAACTCACTACAGGACAACTCACCATGGCCAACTTGCCATGGTCAACTCGCTGCAGGACAATTCACCACAGCCAACTCACCATGGCCAATTTGCTGCAGGACAACTCACCATGGCCAACTCACCATGGCCAACTCACTACAAGACAATTCACCACAGTCAAC